AGATCTTCCCAAGTTTAAAACTACAGTAATCTTGGTGTGTTGGGGAAGGCCAGGATCTGAACTTGTGAATTTCCTGTTTTGTGCCCTTAAAATGATCATGCCTAGTATTTCACTAACAGCTCAAGATAAGCACAGCAGCTACAGGCATAGGAGTACAGAGCACCTGGCTCAGAACAGAAGTTTCCAAATATCATTGGTCACAAGGTAATGATTAAGCTTAGAAACAAAAACTTGAATATATTGTACATGCTGGTTAGCTGAATGGTCTTAGCTATTTTTAAGAAACTGGGACAAAGAAATAATAGAGCTATTGTAATAGGAAGAAATGCCCATTATAGTTCCTTCTTAACCTTTTGGTCTCTCTTGCTGCTTCAGCTGAATATTATCTGTATATTCAAACAAGTTAGAATTCCTACTGCTGACTTGGCTACTGTAATGTTCTGCAACGTTTGGGAAGTGACTGCAGTTGATATGCATGTACACAAAACACAAGAGCCATGAAACAACTGAACATTATCTAAACTAGTTTTTATTATACAGAATGTGAAAGAAGCTGTCCTGATTGTAGGACAGTGAGTATAAGGATTTTTAAAAACCCAACAAAATAGAGCTGCTATCTTTGAACAGATGTAAGGGCTGGAGGAGGGGCAAGAAGTAGAAAATAATCTGTAATTTCATCAGTAAGCCTTTTTTTTTTTTTTTTTTTTTGCCAGAAAGCACGTTTCCTGAACTAGAAAGAATGAAGAGTCTCTTTCATTGACTTAATAAACTATGGCAGATTAGAAGAGAAACTACTTTTTAAACACACAGATACACTCACAATCCTAGAGTACAGTGAATTGCATAAAGGCACTATTTTAGATAACTCATTTTATAATTCATTCAATCAGGATCTTATTCCTCCCTTTACTGTAACTGAGTTTAGTGAAAACTTACTGAACTCAGAGAAATTAACACAACAGAGACAAGAACAAAAGCCTCAGCATTGTAGTAGGAAGAAAAATATCTGTGCACCAAATAACAGATTCAAGTGCACCCACTTGTATTACATCAATATTCATTTGCAAAAACACAGATATAGTTTCCATAACTCATTTGAAGAGGAAGATTTGCACTCATTTTTAATTTAGCACACAGACTGGAAGAAGTGCTTGTCAGACTTGATTTCCTGGAATTTGAGCTTTGTACAAGACACGGGACTGGAAAATATTTTAAAAATAGGTTATGTTTAAGCCGATATTCAAGTGACGGAATGATTGAAGTGCACTGAATTTAAAGTATCACATTTCTCATTCACTTCTTAAAATGTTTTTCAAAGCTTAAGGATTTTTTTTTGAAATGCTATATTCTGACAATTTTAAAGCAGTCATCCTTTCTACTGTTAGAAAACAAGAAAGGGCAAAGGAACTGAGCATAAGGGCACTGTGGAAAGGACACAGATGAGGGCAGTGAATGACAATATTTTCTGGCATTGGGAGTTATTTCACATGCTGAGCACATACAGCTCTTGTTGTCTTGAACTGAAGCTGTAGGTACTGTTGAAAGTCAGGCCCAAAAGTATTCAGTGTATCGCTTAAAATGTATAGAACTAGAGTATTTTAATTGTAATATAACATTTTTTCATTCACACTTTACTCTCCTTCTCCCAACTTTTGAAATAAGACTCATAGAACAGAAATCATAGGACTAGAAGGGACCTACAGAGGTCATCTAGTCCAGTCTCCTGCACTCATGGCAGGACAGTGTCAGCTATTATGTGGAACCCAGATGTGGAACTCTTGATTCTATGGACTGTTACTTATGCTGCTGTTCATGAAACTTTGTAACACTAAATTTATTATTCACATTCTTATAATCAGACTTTCTGGATATCTTGCTTCGGGGGGGAAGAGCAAAATATTTTATTTGGTACCTGGTACAATTTCAAAGACCAATGTAACCCTTTTAAAACACTGCAGTTATAGAAGTCAATACTGAGAGTGTAACAGATGTAAAGAAAGCAAAAGAATGGCTACCTTTCAATTGTCAAAAAGTGTGTTAGGCAACTAATTACTAATATTAGGCACAAGCTACTAGGAGCTACACCCTAACAGCTTTAGCACCAACTTCTAATGACCACACTGCTGAGCATATGCAGGTTTAAGATAGCTTTAGTTTCAGATTTTTGTCAGGAAAAACACTTTGCATAGCAGTGAGTAAATCACTTGAACTTTCAAGTAACACAGTTTTAACCCAGCACGAAACATATTTCCCACTTTCTTTGTAGAAATATTAGTTACAACGCAGAGTCCTTTACACCAAGAATGAATACTAAGTGGCTTGTGTCCCAGACACGGTCCACCAGGGTTAAGCCCCTGGCAGATTGCCAGACGCTTTATTTACCTGAGCAACTGACCACAGGTATGGCCACTCACAGCTCCCATTTTGGTTCATTGTTCCTAGCCAATGGGAGTCATGGGGAGTGGTGGCCAGGCTAACCCTGGCAATCCGCTTCTGGCCCACCCATGCCTTTACCAAACTACAAAGGGAAACAGGAAAACTAGCTACATACATAGCTGTAGGACAAAATAAACAAAAACCCAAACCCCCCCAAAGAACACAGTTAGATAACTTTTAGAGTTACCAGTACTAAAGAGAAGGTAAAATTTTATAAGGAACATTCAAGTTCCTTCCTTATTCCCTATCTCCTATACAACATTCCTTGAATATTTCAGTTGGGATTTTAAATTTTCATTCCTTCCCGTACACCCCCCACCCACCGATGGTTCAAGTGTCTAGTGTCATGCAGACTAGAAATTCTATGCCTTGTTTTCATTTATTCACCTGTATATCAAAGAGGTTGTATGAGAAAAGAGTCTACCACACTCCTTAGAAACCAGCAACACAGCTCAATAACTACATCTCTAAGCAGCAAGTGTTTGTTTGTCTAGAACAGTAACAGTCTAGAAATTCTCAATCTCACCAATATTGTGTTGCACTGTCCAGGAAATGCACTGAAATTGCTTGAGCCAAGGAACTGAGAAATACAACGGGCAGATAAGAGTCTTTTTTAGATAGACTCCAAATCCACTACCAATGTCTGCCACAATGTAGTGCAGGGGTGGGGAACCTCTTTTGCGTCAGGATCTGCTGATCCACAAGGGTGGAGTGGGGGGGAGAAATCAGTCGGAGGCTGTACTCAAGTGAGATGTAAAAAACCAAAACCCTCACTGACATGGCCTCTGACTAAGAAGGAGAAAGACACTCCCCACATTTCCCTCATACACCAGAGTCTAGGGGAACCCAGACTAGTAAATTTTGTATGCTCCAGCCCCTGGCCTAAGGTTCCCCATCACTGATGTAGGGTATTTAAACCAACACATTTAATTAGGAAAAGTTACAGGCCTATAAGTCATTTATACATATTAAATATGAACAGATGTAGAGAGATCTTTTTCAACAGACTAATAAATTATTTAACCTCTAACTCAAGTTAAAACAAATATTTTGGAAGTCATGTAAATTGTTATTCATTCAAACTGGAGCTGTATTCTTCGTGTCCTAGACTATATTAGATAGTCACAAAGCATACAATAATCTACCAATGCTGCTTGTGTGTGGTCATGGTGGTGGTGGTGGTGGTGGTGGTCAGGAAAGTTTCTTACTAAATAAAACTTTTAGAAAGTTCAGCTATCATTGATCAGTCTTTTCCTTTTCCTCTCTCTCAGATGCTGTTTTCTATTGCTAAGGGTGTTTTTGTCACCCTGAAGACAAACCCCCAAAGGGCAAAAAATGTCCATGGCAGCTAATTTAGCAATGGCATTCCAGATGTGAGAGTTCATTTTAGCAACACCAGAAGTAATCCATTAAAGCTGACATCATAGCTTGGAAAATCTTAATATTCCTTGGAAAATAATTCTGAATTATCAGTATACAGTGAGTTATCAGTATACGTGTTATAATTAATGCAACCATATTGTTCCTTGAATTTTAGTTGTGAAGTAAGGGTTGTTTAAGGTAAGGAGGTGGGGATAAATATTGTTTTCCAGGAGACTATAACCTAGGAATCATTGGTATGGAGACAGTATTTTTTTACTCAGGCTGTGTAAACTTTATGTAAGTTTTACATTTAAAACATTATATTGACTAGGGATGTAAATAGGGATGTTAAATTTTAGATTAACTAATTCAATAGTCAATAGGATTTCCACTGACTGTTCGATTAGTCCATAAAGGTGCCTCTGCCGGGCTCTTGGTACAGTTCAAAAGTGGAAGCCCCGAAGGGAGCGTGGAGCCTGCAGGAGTACCTTTTGAAATATACAAGAGCCACACCAGAATTCTTGTACATTTCAAAGGCTCAGGCACTGCAGGGAGCCCGGGGCCAAACCTCTGCTGGCCCTGCGCTCCCTGTGGGGCTTATGCTTTTGTAGAGCTCTTGCTACAATTCAAAGGCAGAGGCGCCCTTATCAACTAATTGAATAGTCAATGGAAATTAATCTATATTTAATAACCCTACTATGACCTATATCTGGTCCTGAAAATGCTGCCTTCTAGAGGTCAAAGACAATGCCCATACCCAAGTTTTCCTTCAAAGAGGCAGCCAGTACTAATGATGTATTCTAGTTTATAATTTGTATAGTGCCAAACATATACCAAGTGCTTTATAGACATATAAAAACAAGATCCCCATTGTGAAAAGCTTCCATTCTAGACAATGTACAAATACGGCCAAGGAGAGAGAGTAAGATGCTATACAGTTCACTCACCTGCTGTTGCATGTCATATTAATTCTATTAATGTTTTATTGCAGGGACAGATGAAAGATATTAAGCCATTTAGCATTCTTCTGCATGGAGGTTTTGGGCTTGAAGGCTTCCTGCAACTAGCCATTTCTTTAGCTGAAGCTTGCTAGTTAACTTTTGGATCATGACTAAAGGGAACATATTTACTCACTATATCATACAAAATATATATTTTATTTACAATTTGTCACACACTGATGTAAAGAAAAGTCAACATAATGATTTTAAAGTTGACAGTCTTTATTTACAACCTTGTTGGCAAAAGGTGGAGGGAAAGTTTAAAACATTTTAAACAGAGGGCACCACAGCTGACGCTGTATCAATTCACGAATCTGCATCTTTAGCATCCAGTTGAAGAATTAAAGCATATCAATACTTGCAGGAGCATAAACTTCTGAATCTGTATCACTTTCATTTAGAGTACATTGCTCAAATATTTTAGGCAGTTTCTATATCAACTCAATTTACTTATTAAAAGGTGAAGGAAGTTCACTTTGACAGTATACTGTACCTGGAAATAATAAATCCACTTAAACTCAATTCCTACTTTTAGTTGAAAATTACACCTCATTTTCTGTGATGACAGCTCTCAATTTAATTAACAGCTACACTGAATATCTTACTATGAGGTGTAGTCAAGACTGGAGTAATGGAAACTGAAGAAAGTACTTCTGGTTTTTGATGCCCTCCAGAATCAGTTGGGAAAAGTCATAAACATCCTGTTTAAGAATTCTAGATGAAAAAAATGATGTTGTCAGTTTTCACTTTGTAAGGAAATTTTCAATTTTCTTATTGGATTTGTTTGTTCATTCCTCTAAATCGAGAGTGTTTAATTCTTCTTCTAGATCATCCAAGTCCTCTCCAGTAAAAAGATTTTCATCAACAGGAACTGCATCTATTACTCCATTTTCCTGTTCTTCTACCTCGTTTTCTTCTAAGTCACTTTGCTCCCCATTTTCCATCCCACCTCCTGAAGCTTCACTTAATTTGTTATCTGAAAATAAAAACATTTTTTATAATGTCTATTAAATTCTTACAGTCAGTCAATCTCTCAATATCAACAAGGCCCCATGCTTGAAAAACATACACACTTATGTTTTGATGCAAAAATACTGCCATGGGGCCATATTCTATTAAGACATATATTGTAGGAATGGGCTTTTCACAGTTGCAAATGAACAAAGAAGTGCATGAATACAAAAGCTTTTTATAACTTCTGTCCTTGCCAACTGGTTCACACTACTGAATTATGACTAATATTCAATGCTGTACTGAACTCCAGAAAGGTCCAACCAGGATCAGGCTTTTATATGGCTGATGCTGTACAAATATATAGTATGATGCAGTACTAGGTTAGCTAACATGTTTAAGGTGAACTTAGTTTTTTGGAGTCATCACTCATTCACTTACTAAATCAGGAGAGTGAGAAGAAAGATTTTTCCTTTCCCAGTTTCAAGATGTAATTTTAAATGATTTTTAGTGATACAGTAGAAATGATTGTAAATATTAAGTAGGAAGTCACAAAACACAGGACTGGTTACAGCAATTGCCTTCCCCTCTACTAGAAAACACAAGTATCCTGTATTTGCAGAACACAATATGAGAAGCACATTAAGCTATAACCACTATAAAAATCTAACAAGAATTTCTTCAGAGTCTCTACTTGAGTATTTGGAAAGACCTTTAACACTGAAGTAATGTGCTGTTATCTGTTAACTTAGTTATGCCTACAAAAGCGAACTTACCATCTTTTTCCACTGAAGTGTATGTGCTGAATCGCTCAAGACTAGCCACAGTAATACCAGTTTCATCTACATCCTTTGGGACATACAAGTTCAAGTCTACATCATTTACCCTCACAAAATCTTCAACCTGAAAAAATAAGTTATTTTCTTTGCATTAATAACTGGTTTCCTGTAACTGATTTGTTAATTTTACTTTTTATATCAACTTTTCTTACTGCACCTTTTATTTTTTTCGGCATAAGCAAAACTAAACTAAAAAGGGGACCTACCATTTAAGTATTAGCCAAGCTTCTTTTTATGGAAGCTTAATTGTGATCAAATTTGAGAAGTATCTAAACCAAAAAGTTATTCACCAAATTTGAAATGTTACCAACAACAAACTTGCTTCTTACCTCATCTTCACTTGTTCCTTGACTATAATGTGTGTCATCTGCTTCTTCATCATCTGCATCAACCAACTCAGGTCGGAACTCAAATACTTCACGTCCACTGATCTAGCCATGGAGAAGCAAATAAGAGATGTTCAAACAACACTGAATATGAAGGAAAACACACACAGATCTTAATTTCAGGCCAGCTACCTCACTATAAAGTGTATTATACTCTTTCCACTTACAAGTAATAGTATTTGCATAAACATACCACCAGTGCTTTGCCAGCTTTAAAATCAGCTTTCCTCCGTTCCATATCCTGCTCAGCCTTGTCAATCTTTTCTTGTCTTTTTCTTTTCTTCCATGCAAGAAAAGACTCTAGGGTGATTTTGGTAATGTTTGGTCCTAAGGCAGCACGCTGAACAACAAAGATATTAGCTTTAATCAATCTTTGTGAACACAATTATCTACAAAACAATAAGGCAAGTTTTTGTTCACAAATTAAGAAACTTTCTCTTAAAATCATTCTTTCCTAATATTTTTCTAATACTGTGTAGTCCTGTGGCACCTTAGAGATTATACATTAGTATCATGAGCTTTCATGGGCAAAACCCATTTCATCAAATGGTGAGCTGGAGAGGAAGATTTTTCTGTATATGAGACAGAGAATGAGATTTTTCTTTTGACTTATTAATAATAAACATGGATTCATATAGTCAAATTTGAGATTGTTTGAATTAGGGATGTAAAATCCTGTTTAAAGAGTTAACTGGTTTAACGTAATGTTTAACCAGTTAACCGCGTACCTGGGGTCTCACCACTGGGGGTCCCAGCCAGGCTTGAGCACCCCCTTTCATACCCCCACACAGCCCACGAAGCTGCTTCAGCCCAGCTGGGCCAAACCTGCCGTACCGTGGGACTGATCCAGCCGGGCCAGGCCTACTGCAGTGCAGCAGGTAAGGAGCAGCCCCTGCTTGTGGTGCGGAGAGCCTGACCAGCTTGGAGAGTCTCTGGAGCTGTGGGCCCAGCTGGGATGGAGCAGCCATCCATCAGTGTTGGGTGAGGGGCTGCTTCAGCCTGGCGGGACCACGTGGTTAACTTGGTACCTCCCACATTTAAATTGTGAAAGCAAGGCTACATTCATATCTAAGTGTATTTATTCTACTACTACTACTATAGATCATCATTTTACAAACTGGATGGTTACATGCACCTCTAAAACATCAATAGCATGAACTAAAAATGTCCATTTCAACTGCAGCACTTGCCCTGGCTTTAGAAGGGATATTATTTAAAAATTCTCAGGTTCCTTTTAAAAGGTAAGCAAAAACATGGCTATGTTTTTTCTGGTCTCAGCCTTTTAAACTCTCTGATTTTGCCTGCCACCTAAGGAAAACACACACACACAATCTTCAATAGTGCCTATTATTTTCAGAAGCTGCATTTCAGAATTACAAGTAAAAATTTGACCTAAAACACTGCTGCCCTCTAGAGGTAAATATTCAGTTAAACTTTACTTTTCATTCTTATGTGGTGACTAAATTGGAGAAAAAGAAAGGCTTGCTTATTTTCAAGAATTACTGAGTATATTTCACTCCAAGTGGATACAAACATGAGCAAGTACCATTTTACGCTGTTGCTAGAAATGTGCTTTGAACCTGTATTTTTCCAGAATACTTTGCTAAAAATAATAAACCATGTTATATTCAGGTTTGATTGAGTAAGTTAGCTATTCCTTACCTCTCTTTCTATCAGATCTTCTAAAGAAACTTCATCTTCCTTTTCCTCCTTCTTTTTGTCTTTTTTTAGTACAAAGCCAGGAGGTAGAGCATGGCGGTACATACAGTTGTCTCCTCCACCAGGACAAACCCAAAACCAGCCATATTTGTTGTTTTCGATAGCATCAAGAAAATACTTGCAAACCTGTATTGAACAAGAGTGGCTGTTATCCCTGAATCCTGCTTTCTTCTCCCCAGCAATGCACACTGATAAAGTGAGTTTGTCACATTAACTCAGGAATAGTACTAAAACAATGATCAGTAATTCACAGCTAGTCCTATTCTGTTTTAATGGTAGCTTAGAAATGTAAGACAGAAAAAGAAATAGCTTTGAACATATTTTGACTAAAGAACAACACACAAAGGTCAAAAGAGTAAAACCAATTAACCTATTTAAATTAAAAAAAAACAAAAAACTACATTTGAAGTTTTCAGTAGTGTTTTCTGTTAAGGTTACCCAAATCTGGCTCAAAGGACTGATGATTGTATGTATAGTGGTATACATCCAATGTCTTTGTGTGAAATGAGTTGGTGGTCTTTTTTTTTCCTTCACTGAGAGGTAGCCTCCCCCCCTTTTTTTAAAAGGCTTTTTTAAAAAAAATTTAGCAGTCTCAAACCATCAAGAATGTAATGAATATGGAAACTGTAGTGTTCTATCCTTTCAACTTTAGAGGTTTTCCTTTCCAGGTCAAGGTTTTAAGCATGCTGAAGGGACAGCATGCATTCTTGCTACAGTCCTACACTCATCTGTAGACAGAACATTTCCGTTGCCAGGGCTGTCATCAATCTGGCAACTTTAACAAGCAATTTATTAATTTAACTGTAGATCCCCAGCTGTTCTTTCACATTTCATTTCCAAAGGTGTCATGGGTAACGGTTATTGTGAAACTATCAATGCAACCATCATTTTCTTATATTTTTAGCTTGTATGGAAAACAATGTGGAATTAAGAGTAGAAAACACAAAAGTATTAAAGATTTAAACAGATGCTAGATGAGGCAAAATATAAGTTAATGTCATAATCTAAAACTGCTCATAGTTTTAGAGCTCAAAATTAGTGAGTTTTTCACCTTAATTACAGAAAATATGAAGCTGTGTGCACTGATAGGGCACTCACAATAGAAAATGTCTTTGTTTCTGTCTGTAAAACTATTAGCATCTTAGATTCACAATAAAAAAGATAAGATGTGTTAGAGAATCGGTCACATAAGTAATTCAATTGGCATATGGAACTATGAACACATACATCTTGAATGTGGGGTCGTCAAATTACATCTAACAGTGTACACTGATTACTATTCATAATGTTTATAAAGTCATTTCTACCTTAGAAAGATGCTTCTAATACCCAAATCTGCACATACAAGATGTGTGTGTTTATATAAAGAGATCCTTGCTTATTTCAGATATACCGTATAAAATAATGCAAGTCAACCTTTACCTTAAAAAAAGCCTTTAAAATATTCAAATAAAGATTTCACGATATGCTAGGAGGAAAATCCAATACCTTTCCAAATTTAATTCTCTCTAATGATAGTTAATATCTACTGCAACTCAATTCAAGAAAAGGACATACTATTTGAGTTTTGGGTTTTTTCTTTTCCGCCTCACCATGCTTCTTGTTCACCACCTCTTCAAGCTTTTTCTCGTCCCAATTATCCATTGTATCTAAATATAAATAGTAAAAAAAAAAAAATCCCCCCCCCTTCAAACTTTTTTCCGTCCCAATTATCCATTGTATCTAAATATAAAAAGTAAAAAAAAAAAAAAAAAAAAAGTTGGTTGCACTTACATCTCAACCTCTCAAACAAACAGCTTTGGATTCTGCAGTTAACTGCAGTAAAAGAAAAGCAATACTGTCAGCTTTAGACTCTTAATTATGATTTTGCTAGAAATAGGATTTTCAAAGCCTCCTGTGCGTTTAAGTATTTTAAAACCTTTGCTTTGAGAACATTTTGAAAAATGTACACCTCCTCCTTCACAAACTCATCTGTTTCCAAAAAAAGATAGAATCTGAGATTCTACAACTGCGTTAACTGGACTGGAGAAAAGAAGAAGAAAATAAGGAACAGTAGATGGGATGGTGCCCAGGAAGAATATAGGGGGAAGGAAGTTCAAATGAACACACGAGCAGAAGAGAAGATGACACATAAGTTAAGGCACAAAGTTCTTTATCATCCTGGGTGATACAAAAAGCAGCCAATAAAGAAGAGATGTTGGGAAGGGTTGGAACAGTAACAAAAGCAATGAAACCATATGTATGATCCTGGTGTACCACTTCAATGTGTCAAAAGGTTAAAACATTACCCAGCAGGAGTGGCATAAAACATTGTGTAAGTGCATGACAACCACAAAAGGAAATTGACCCATCTTTGTTGAGCTCTCTAATCCAGGCTGAGCAAAAGTCCAAAGCCAAAGAATGCTTTATTTTCAACTGATTTGTGCTATTGAGAGATGAAATCACAAAGAGAATCTTCTCAAGCCTCCTAAATTTAAAATACTGTCATCCACATTATACTACTCCTAGTACCATATGTGCAAAAACCATGAGTTGCACTTCATTTGCTTTTTTCTAAAGCCTGGGTATCTTAAGAAGCAATTGGAAACTAAGAGAAGATATCAATTCTATATAACTTGCCACCAGTTTTTTCATTCATGAGTGGAATAAATTTTGTTATATGCACCAAGGCATATGCTAACATGCACCAATCTGTGGGTGCTCAGCTAATCAGCTGGGCAGCACCTCAATCTCTCCTGGGTGGTCGCTCAAGCATTCAGTTTACAGGGAACATGGTTTGCCACCTCTATATTGTAAATACTCCACACATCAGAGTTTAAGGATTGCTGCCCTATAGCACACTGTCTTTATTATAATGATGCATCAAAATAGGGAGTAGGAAAAATTCTCATGCAGATATGAAGTGATTTTTCTTTTTTATGTCAGCATGATATTAATTTTATTACCAACCACCTAGAAGCCCCAGCCATAGGCCAGAAACTGATTATGCTAGGTGTTGTATAAATGCAGAACAAGACGACTATCCCTGCTCAAAAGAGCTCATGAACTTATTATGAGAACTTTGGCATCAGTAAATTACGTTGGCAGTTATTTCCCAATAGGAACATACCTTTTTCAAGCTCTTCATCTCTTGCATCAATGTAAACACTTCGTTTTTCACACTTTCTCTCCAAAGATAAATCATGAGAAAACTTGCACTTATCTCCTTTAGTGCACTGTCCTTGCTTGAAGAAAGCACAAACTACTGATTTGGGATCTGCACCTATGTCATAAGAAATTTAGTATTTTAGTACTGTTCCCAGTGTTGTCTTCAAGTCGTCATTGTCAAGTCGAAGTCACTACAGTTCAAGTCCCTAAAGTCACTTGAGTCAAGTCCCAAGTCGAGTCTCAAGTCTTAATTTAAAAAATGTCAAGTCACTTTTGTACAAGGCATCAATATGGGCATTTTTGGACAATTTTTTCACCAAGTCGATTTAACAAAATTAGCAAGTCTCAAGTCACAAACAATGAACCCGAGTCGAATCTCAAGTCAAGTTACCTAGGTGACTTAAGTCAGACTTGAATCAACAACTCTGACTGTTCTCAGGCAAAACACTAAGTCACATTTAAAATTATTTACCATTTTTTCAAAGATCATTAACACCAAGCAGCAGAGCATGGAAATTCAAAGTTAAATTTCAAAAATTGGAAGTTATTCAGAGTACAATTACCATCACTAGCTTCCAGTGGGGCTGACTGCCTCGCTGGCCTCTAGGCAAGGTGAAGGGGAAAGATCATGCTCTGCGCCACTGGAAAAGGCCACTGAGAAGGGGCAGAGATGCAACTAGCCTCCACCAGGCAGCCTTGAATGCTGCCCTGAATGTGTGGGGCTCTGGCCACGGCTGTTGCCACAGTAGCAGCGGCTGGGAGCCCCAGGCCCTTTTGAATCACAAAGCCCTGGGATAACTGCCCTTTTTGCCCTCCCCTTCCCCAACAGCAGGCCTGCTAACTTCTCTCAGTCTGCCTCACTACCAAGCTTCCGTCTTATACGTCCAGAATGCTTCATACCTATTTTGCTGCAGAGTTTGTGGTAAATGTCCAATTTTAAAAGCATTTTGATATCCAAAATATATGGCATCAATGTGTGGCATAATTAACTGATGATCAACTGATTTAATCAAATATCTTGTACTTAATTCCTATACTGATCCATAAGGAATGATATTTTCAGTGGCAACCAGTTAGTTCCAGTGTACACAGTTAATGGAAATGTCAAAATATTGCTATAGGACATATTACTATAGCAACGAAAAAGGCTCGCCAAGCGACGGCGAGCCTTGCTCGCCAGCCACGCGGTTCGGCACGCTGCACACGTGCAGACTGCGCTGCGTGGCTGTGCCGGCTTGTAATCTACTTGCCACGAGCGAGTAGATTACAGTAATTGTCAAGCCCTGGCAATGAAACTGTTAGGATTTAGTCTTGATGAGGAAGTGATATTTATGGTTAGGGTAAGATACTGAGGGTCAGGCAAAACACAAAACAAAACAAAACAAAACAAAACGAGTTTGAATTGATTTGGCCAGTGATCTGGTACGACACCTAAAGACTAGCTTAAACTACATAGGTTCTGCTGATTGTTATTTTGGCACAGTACAGCTCTACTGCCCAATTTCCCAAGTCCTGATGCATTATATACAGACAAAGTTCTCCCTGACGGTATATTACAGTAAAACTCCAGTGGTCCAGCATCCAATGGCAGCCGGATAATTGCTGGAATGCCAGTTCTGACTTACATACAGATTCAACTTAAGAACCCCAGGCATCCCCAAGTCAGCCCGGGGCAGGGGCTTCCTGTAGTCAGCCGCTGGTCAGTTTCAGCTGCGGCTGACTTGGGGAAGTCTGGTGCAGAGCAGATGGGGTGCTGCCGGGTTGGTCCCGCAGCGCTGAGGGGTGCATCTCCCCCACTCCACTCCAGACCCCTCATAGATCCCCCTTCCGATAATCCAGCATATCTGATAATCCGGCACCCCCTGGGTCCTAAAGGTGCCGTATTATCCAAAGTTTATTGTACTACCTTCTCCACAAAGTTGGATGTGCAAACAGAAGCACTCCTGTTGGCATAGGTGTGTGTGTATACTAGGGTTTGGCTGTCATAGCTATGTCACCTACATAGTGTGATTTTTCTTACACCTTTGCCAACACAGCTATGCTGAGAAAAAGCTGTATCTTTACTACAAAGGTACGTCAAGACATAAGAAACCATGACTCTTTAAAATGGGGATCATGCGAATTTAACATACTTATATAATCAAACGGTTACACCTTTACAAAGAAAGGGACACTATTGAACATTAAGGAGTAGCAAACAGAACAGAAACTATGTGCAAGTCCCCTAGAGTAAGCCAGTTCTCTGCAGCCTCTGGCACAAGGGAGAGTTTTGGAGAAGGGCAAGTGACTAGAGTGCACTGTACTCTAACAATCTGCAGGGCAGAGAACTGTACCTGGTAAAAACTCAATGTAGCAAAGAATTTGCTCCTGCATCCTGCCAAAGTTAATGAAGAAATCTCCACTGAAATCAGTGCAGATTTCTGTACTTAGATCAATGACATTGTGACCTCACAATGGTTGGCATTAGAACGTCACAATTATAACCCTTCATTTGAGTTATATTTGTTCACAGAGCAGAATTATTAAAATAAAAAAGTTAGAACTGCTTGCTTATAGATAGGAACAGTGAACTGACATTTTAAACACTTTTTTTTGCAAACTATGTAAAGTACCAACTGAATTAGCTACAAACTAAAACATTATACTCCTTTGTTTACCTTTACTAATTTTTTGCGCAGCAACTACAGGTTTGAAAAGTTCATTTAGTTCCTGTAATTCCTTCTTCTTATCATCTTTCTTGAATTTCTTGTCACCTTCAGCTTGAGAAGCCTATAATACCAGATTTAAATATCTTTTACCAATCACTTCAAAACATATTACTCAAAGAGAAACAAACAAAGATACATTAGCATGCCATATGAATTATATATTATACTGAGTGACAGTCCAACTTTGGAGGTGTCAGCATTATTCTGTTCCTAATATTTCCTTGTATTAGTGTACCACTAATGGACCCTGGCCATTAATACATTTCAAACTGAAGGGAAGAAAGAAGTAATAGTCAACAATTTGCTAGGGCATAGATAAACTTGATATTTAATTGAAGGACCTCTCCTGCTTTTTTCCACACGTAAGCAATAGGAAATAAATGTCATTGCTGGCACAGGATAGCTATCTTCCAACAGGACTCTAGCAAACCCAAACCATCACAGTGGGTAGTAAGTGAATTAAAGACCAAGCGCCAACACTAAAGCCAATTACTCTTGCCCAAGATCTACACAGGAAGAGACTCTCCTATTACATCTTAAAATGCACATTCTTTCATTTTATGTGCATCAGCAGTAACCTGCCAGAAAGTCTTTTGCAAGTTCTTATTCACTGCATCACCTAGTCAAATTTGTATTTTATTGTGTGCAGTTCTTCAGCGTTACAGCATTCAGTTAATAAATGATGGTGTATAAGGCTGGAAAACTTACTCTCATTTGAACTGTGTGGGAAAAAGAGAATAAATCAAGTAAAAAAGGGAAAAACTATTTTTATAACTACAAAGTAGGGATGTTAGATACTGTTTAATTTAATAATCGTGTAACTGCACTAAATTTTAGCAGTTACACAATTATTTAATGGTTCCGGAAGGTGGGGCCAGCAGTCAATGTACTCTCGGCCAAACTCCCTGGGAGCCCCATACCACCCCGCACTATTACCTCTGCATTAAAAGCCGGCTTCCAGTGTTTACTGGCTCCCACCACACTGCTGCTTCTCCATCAGAGGCAAAAGGGGGGCAGGTGGAGGAACTGGTGACCCTGGGGAGTTGGCTTAAAAGCTAGCTCCCATCTCCCCCCGCTTTGCTGCCTCTGATGGTGGGGGGGAGGAAAGGGAGGAGTATCGCTGTTTAAACTATTAAGCCTGGGCTTATTGGTTAATCGTTTAAATGACAATACAACAACATCTCTACTACACAGGAGACACTATAAACCTGCCTTCCCCTTCCAGTACTTCAAAAATTAAGCCCCCTCATCCTAAGTCACTGTTACTTAAACTGGTAGGAAAAAACCTACCCCCAAATACCTGAACTATTACAGAAGAATAAAGACGAGGCAAAAAGAACAGGTACAATTAATTAGTTTTAGTACATGTGACTCCCCTCCCAAAATTGTTAATGGGACTATATGCCTAATTATTTAAAGATATAATTATGACATCATTAGTAATAATAAATATTGTATAGTGACTAAAGGCCCAGTCAGAGCTGAAGACAATGGTAAATACTCATTTGAAAAAACACATTCTCTCTCTTTTTCAGTATAAGGTCATCCAGGATCTGCAATGTTTGGATTATACAGGAAACCTTCACCATTCACAGTGGATGCATTCCCGCATCCACTGAGAATGGCAGAATTAGCAAACACTGCGAGCCTCAGGTCCCAGTGAGTTCCCCATGGCTCCCAGCTCCTGCTGCCTCCAAGATGGGACAGGAGACTTGCAAATACATAGAACGACTAATAGCAATTCCATGAATCCCAAGGGTCTCCTGTAATTTGATGCAATGCAGAATTAAAAGCAGGCTCTTCTCTTCCCTAAATAAGGCAAGATATATCAAAGTTTCAAAATAGTTAAAAGGTAAAGTGATTCTAGGCTAACACTCAACCTAAAAAAGACACCATATTATCTTTACAATTTTGATTTCTAATGACATTCCAACTAGAAAAGCTTACTTCAATCCCACTTTGCATCAGATGGATTTACCAGCATTTCCACTTTTGTCAACTATAGTGAGCAGCCCCCCAATCCAGCCAGAGCAGGCACACCTCACTTGTGGTCCGGCCAGCCGGTTGGAGTAGCTCCCCCAACCTGTCCGCAAGGCTCCAGCCCTCCATGGTTAACCACTGAAACATACTGTTTAATCGGCTGGCTTTTTTTTTTTAAATGTGTATTTATCTCTCTAAACAAAAATTTTAATGATTTACTCTGAAATTACACACACTTAGAGTACCTTTGATACACCTGTAGCGTTAGAGCTGAAGTAATTTCTTAGCTCAACAGCACTTCCATTTGAACTTCAAGGCATGCCTGTCCTTGACTCTTGTGGGTTATTCACAGAGGTATGGGCTTGGAAGATACATCACTGTATTAGGATTCAATGTTGAAAGTTTTCTTCCTGGACTTTTAGGTTTCCTGGCTGTTTGGGGAGAAAAGTTTCAACATCTAATCCTAACACAATGATGCACCTTGCAAGTCTGTAAAACATACAAGGATGTACTTTACCCAGTTTCCATGTTTTGTTGAGAGAAATTTTTCTTTATCAATAAGCAGTACCTACTTCTGCTATTGCTCAAAAAGCAGCAACTGAACAAAATCACCAATAGTCAGGAATTTTGCAATTGCTAATTAGTTGTGAGCAGCAGTGAGACTGACATGAACCATGTAAATTACAGTCAGCAGCTTTTTGGGAAAACAAGATGCAACAGAGGCAGGTAATAGGGTTATGCTCCATAGGTGGGCTGTGCAGGTATTTGTCAATGTGGAAGTCCTGTCTTCAAAAAAGTCAGGCAAGCTGGAAGATTTTGATTGGAAGTTGCGTTGAAGTTGACACCTCTGAGGAATCCATAATTTCCAGCAGAAAAGTGCCAGGAAATTTCAAACTAAGGATGTTAACTGATGTTTAATCAGCTAATTGAGTAGTCGATGGAATTTCAATCAACTACTCGATTGGTCAATGGGGGGGGAGGGGCAAGGAGAGTACAGAGTGACAGCGGGGTTAACTCCTGGCCCTGGAAGCTAATCCTGTTACAGCTCTGTCTTTTAAACGTAGTAAGAGCCAGATGGCTCTTACTACACTTAAATGGCAGAGCCACAGCAGGGCCCAGGCGTTAGCCAGGATTCAGCTGTCCTAGCTCATGCCCGTCCCCTGCTGGGCTGCTCTTTGCCTCCCTTACCCCACCGCAGAGACGGTGCTGGGGGGGAACCGGCTTTTAAGATGGCTCCCTCCAGCTCTGGCTCTCCCGCTTGCTGCCTCTGATAGAGGCATAATGAGTCAGACCAAGGTTCCATCAGTATCCTATCTTCCAACAGTGGCCAATGTCAGATGCCCCAGAGAGGATGATTACCTGTTCTGTTCAAAGTGATCCCTCTCCTGTTACCCATTTCCAGGCTCTGACAAACAGAGGCCTACCCATTCCTACCCATCCTGGCTAATAGCCATTGATAGACCTAACCTCCATCAATCAATCTAGTTCTTTTTTGAATCCCGTTAAAGTCCTGATTTTCACAATATTATCTACCAAGGAGTTCCACAGGTTGACTGTGCACTGTGTGAAGAAAAACTTCCTTTTGGTTATTTTAAACCTGCTACCTATTAATTTCATTTGGTAACCCCTAATTCTAGTGTTATGGGAAGTAGTAAATTACTTTTCCTTATGGAGAAAGTGAATATCGATCATGATTTTATAGACCTCTTTCATATATCTTCTTAGTCTTTTCTTTTCTAAGCTGAAAAGTCCAAGTCTTTTTAATCTCTCTTCACGTGGCACCTTTCCAGCCCCTAATTATTTTTGTTGCTCTTTTCTGAACCTTTTCCAATGCCAATATATCTTTTTTGAGATGAGACCACATCTGTATGCAGTATTCGAGATGTGGGCATACCATGGATTTATACAGAGGCAATAAGATATTCTCTGTCTTATTCTCTATCCAGTTTTTAATGATTCTTAACATTGTTTTCTTTTTTGACAGCCGCTGCACACTGAGTGGATGTTTTCAAAGAACTATCCACAATGACTCCAGACCATTTTCCTGAGGTAGGACCATACCTAACAGGTGTTTGTCCAACCTGTTTTTTAAAACCTCCACCTATCTCTTTTGGAAGCCTATTCCAGTGCTTAACTATCCTTACAGTTAGAAAGTTTTTCCTAATATCTAACATATCTCCCATTGCTGGAGATTAAGCCCACTACTTCTTGTCCCGCTTTCAGTTAACAGAGAGAAAAATTGATCAATATCCTCTTTATAATAACTGGTAACTTATTTGAAGTTCCAGAGGAGTAGCCGTGTTGGTCTGTAACTAAACAAAAACTTTAAAAAAATGACGAATGGTCCTATAGCCCCTTAGAGACCAACCAAAAAATACACATAGTATCATGAGCTTTTGTGGATACAACCCACTTCTTCAGATGAATGAAGCAAGGGGTCCAGAGGTACAAATATACAGCAGAAAAACCGTATCAAATAAAGTGTCTGTGCTAAATGAGGCTAATAGAGCAGGCTATAACTCCCGATATTTGAAGTTTGATCATTTCTCTTCCCCCCCCCCAAGACTAAATATAGCCAGATTTAAAAAAAAAACAAAAAACTCTTGCTCATAAAAAAACAAAACAAATCCTGTCATTTTTGTTGTTCTCCTCTGAACTCTCCAGTTTGTCAACATTTTTCAAAGTTTGGTGTCCACATCTGGACACAAAATTCCTCACCTGGCTTACAGCAGGACTATTATATGCTTTGTTTAACACACAGTGAGGGGGAAATCTCGCTCCCCTGGGGTACAGAGCCCCCAGAAGGGTTCGAGGCCGGAGGTCAAATCAGTGAGGCAGGAAAGAAACTTAGAAGAGAAAACTTTATGATGCATGCATGCAGGCTGTCACTTCCAAGAGTGAAGCAGCAGCCCTGACAGACAGATTCAGGTATCCTTTATACAGAATGCTTAGACAGCTCAGTTGTGGATTGTTCTTCTTTAACATATCAAAGTCTCAGCAGAAGTACTTTGAGACTTCTGTTCACCCCAGGAGTGCTAGAAGTAAGTTTTTACAGTACACAAAGCCACATGAGAACTTGAG